TGGGCCCCCCTGGCGGCGCCTCTGGCGCTGCCCCTGGCGCGCTCAGCGCCGAATGTTTATGTTTACCGGTACATGCTGTTTTCTTCTTCGACTAACCGCTGCGATCTCCTCCCTCCCCTGATGGTCCGCTACCGAAAATTTCCGGTAGCGCTCCGCAGAGATCGGTCGCTACCGAAATACTGAAATGTAGCGCCCAATACCGGTATCAGACCGTTCTGAAATCCGCTATTGCAACGCCCTCAAACGAAGATCCGGTCGCTACCGAAATTCGGGGTGCGTCGAAATCGCTACCGAAAATTTCCGGTACCAGACCATCTGGGTCCTCCTCTGGAGCGGCCGCGGCCTGCGCCGCGCACGGACGCGCCACTGGCGCCGTGCGCCGCGGCGTGGACGGAGGCGCTGCCGGTGCCGTGCGGCAGCGCGGACAGCCTCTGCTCCTCGGAAGGCCAGGGAGGACGAGCAGGAAGAGGGGGGGGGGGGGCAGGAGGAGAAGGAGGGAGGAGGAGGAGGAGGAGGAGGAGGAGGAGGAGGAGGAGGAGGAGGAGGAGGAGGAGGAGAAGAGGAGAGGAGGAGGAGGGAGGAGGGGAGGAGGAAGGAGGAGGGGAGAGAAGGGGAAGAGTCCAGGGGAGAGGAGGGAAACAGGAGAGGGGCATCCCTCCGAGGAGAGCTTCTTGCTCCCCGCACGAGGGGCGCCATCTCGCGAGAGGGGCCCACCGAGTGGAGACCCCCCCTGGAACAAAAAGTGGACCGCCTCTTGTGGACCTCCGAAGAGCAGCGGCGGCGCGCGCCTTCCAGCTCGCGCACGCCCAGTTCCTCTGCTGCCTCGCGGGAGGCTCACACACCGAAGGCGAGGAGCACCGAACGAGAGCTCCCCATCCCTCGCGGGCGCCACCTGCTCGACGGGCGGTCGAAACGCGAAAGGACGGGGTGCCTCGTGTCCTATACACATGGCGCCACTCCGAGGTGGCTGGGCCAGCACGCTGGGGTGGCTCCTCCCTCCCCCTCCTCCTCCTCCTCCTCCTCCTCCCTCCTCCTCCTCCTCCTCCTCCTCCTCCTCCTCCTCCTCCTCCTCCTCCTCCAGCATGGTGGCCGAGCACCGGCAACCAATTCTGACGGCCTGGAAGTGGGCACCAACACCAACACAGGGGGGGTGCCTCCACAGGGGGGAAGCTGATACCAGACGTCGGCGTTGGTGGTCATATGTCGGTCACCTTGGAAGCCGGAATGTTACGACCATCGCCGAGGGCGGGATCTTCTTCCCTCGGCGGAGGCACGCCGCCGATGTTGGTGTGAGTGTCCATCTCTAGTCGGCGGTGGACAAACCTCCCTTTAGTAGACCTCCCCTTAGTGAGAACGGCCTGGGACCGAAACCGACGGACCTGGACCCGCAAAAATGACGGCCGCGACGCCCTCTCGCGAACCGAAAACGGCCAATTCCTCAATCGACGTGTCAGGGTAGGAGGTCCGTCCAACCCCGATCTAGACCTGCGACAATTCGCCGGGCTGGGCGGGCTGCTCGCCTCTCCGCACAGCCTCCGACGGGGCGCGTGCGCGGCCCCTCCCCTGAGCCGGCGGGGGCCTCTTGCACGGCGCCTGCTTGAGGCCTCCCGGAGTATACAGTCGGGGCCTTGACCTAAGGAACCCTAAATAAGGAACGAGGCCCCTTTTTCCATAAGTTAAGCTTCGATTTCCCATCGAAAACAGAAGGAAAGCCTGAGGCAAGCTGCGAAACACTTAAGGAACGCGGAGCCCCTCCCCAACCAAATGGGTTCCTTCTTCAGGGCCCCGACTGTACGACGACCCACATGGGTGCCAACACGAGGTGCAGAACAAGACCAGGCCCCCTCCGGGGACTCGAGCTTCCCTCACACATTTTTTGTTTTGATGCGCGGGTCGAGAGCGCACCTCTTCCGGTCGACGCTGCGCGGGCCGCGCGAAGCTCGAAGTGAGCAGAGACGGGGGAGGAAAAGGGGGGGCGCAGCCTCAGAACGAGGCCGGGAGGAGGCAAAGCCTCGGAATCAGGCGGCCGCTTCCCTCACGCAGTGCCCCTTGGCTTTCCACGTGGCCTGCTGTGGCCGGCCGCGGGCCACGGGAGCCTCGCCGCGGGCCCCCGCCGCAGTCCCTCGTCGCAGGGGGGAAGGGGCCAGAGGCTGCAGCAGCAGCAGGAGGGCTCCTCCTCCTCCTCCTCCTCCTCCTCCTCCTCCTCCTCCTCCGGGACATCCACGGCAGGAGGAGGGCTCGGGGACGGCAGCGGCCTCTGGACCCCCCCTCCTCTGGCCATTCCCCCAAGTCCACCAACCGCAAGTGATCCACTGTCGTCTCGTTGGCCCGCGTCTATCGTCGTCGCTGTGCGCCGAGCCGCATACTTGGCCACGTGCTTACCTACAGCACGAAGGCCTTCAAACGCCAGCACGTGAGCCTCCACGGCTCTGGCCTGCAACGTTCCTTTCTTGGCCAGCTCGCCCGCCCGCGAATTGCCCGAACGGTGGGACGGCGAAATCTTTCTAGCCTCCTCGTCCCGTGAGGCCGCGTGGCCTTTGACATGAACGAAGGGCCGATGCAGGGGGAGGAGAAGGGGAAGGAGGGGGAGGAGGAGGAGGAGGAGGAGGAGAAGGAGGAGGAGGAGGAGGAGGAGGGAGCAAAGAAGGACGAGGGTCGATGGTGGTCGTTGTTTTCTGAAATAAAGTTTAAGCTGACCAGCCCATGGAGGACGGGGGGGGGCAGGACGAGGAGGAGGATAAGGAGGATCCTCGTTCTCTGCCTTGTCTGTCAACCATCTCACTGCCCAGCCCTTCGCTGGCCATGCCCTTTTGGAATATTCCCCTTGTTTGGGATATTCGTTGTCATTCTCGCGACTTCGGCGATCGTAATGCAAACCTCAGGCGGCACATTGTTCTGGCCGAGCCGTCTATTTGCGCAGGAAGGGCGGCGACATTGATGCACCAGCACCACGGCGAGAATGCTTCCAGGAGGGGAGGAAGCAAAGCCTAGAACCCCAAAGGGCACCGAGGAACGGGGGGCACAGTCATCCCTTCGCTCAGGGTCCGAAATGGGCCGCAAGTAAAATGTGAAGGGGCCCTGGGACACAAATAAATACACACAAACAAAAAGACCCCCCATATTTATCATATTTTCTGTTTTTTGTTGTTTTCCCCCCCAATTCTCATATTTCCAAATACTTTCTGGGGAATCGACGATTCATTGTATCTGTGTGTTTTTCCCCTGCTGAAAATCGTGTGACAATTTCTTGCGGGCTTCGCACTCTTAACCGCAGCCTTTGTCCGCGTTCCGGAGAGAGGCATCTGCGGCCTGCACATCAGGCCGGGCTCTGGCGAATGCGATCCTCCAAGCCGTGGGCGCCGCGACAAGGACAGCGCGCGCCGAACCGCGACCTATGTCGTCAGCCAGGGACTTCGAGGACTACGAACCGCATCGGGGGGCGAGCCGCGATCAACTATTATGTGACCGCGCTCGAGGAGACTCACGAGTCATACGCTCGAGAGCACCAGACTGAGTCTCGACCCTCCGCCAACCTCCCGCCAGCCCCTCCGCAATCTCGGCCGGGAGCTCGCGCCGCGCCTCCCCGGGCGGGCGGGCGAGCCCCTGGCGGCTCGGCATGGGAAGCGGCGGCTGCCGCGCGGGCCCGCCCGGCGCATCGCGCGCGCGATCGACGGCGCCCCCCGCGTCTTCGCGCAGGGTGGGCGACAGCCCCGGCGATCGGGGGGCGCCGCGACTGCGCCCCGCTGCTTTGCTGCCGCGCGCCGCGAGTGCAGCGCGGCGACCGCCGCCCGCGTCCTCGAAGCAGTCGCCATCGTGCTCGCGGGGGTGATCTTCGGCAGGCAGAGCTGGCCCAGGTTGTGGCGGCCCTTGTTCCTGAGGAGATGTCCCGAGGCGCGGCGGGGACGGACCGGCGCGAACTTCCCGTCGCTGGCCCGCTTCTCGAGGATTGCAAATGCTTTGTCAATGTGGCCCACTACCTGTTCATCTTCCTCTGGTAATCGTGGATTAATGTGTTCGCGTCCATCGGCGCCGCTGCAGCCTTCCGCAGTCGCTTTCGACCCGTGTTCTTCAGCATGAGGGGTCGCGCGCCCGCTGGATCTCCGACGACCTCCGGCCCGCTGCCTTCCCCGGCGGGAACGCGCGCGACCCGTCATTGACGCCTGGCAACGTATCCCGCCCATTCGCCATCCATTTCATCCAAAGCGTGAGAATCCGCCAGTGAGCCCTCCGCGCAGCTGCAAGGGTGCCATCCGCGCCAAGCGATGCGGCCTCGGCAAACTTCACTGCCTTGTCGACGCGCTTGATCGCGGGCGCCGGGACGAGGTCCCAGTTGAATCTCGGCGCCGCACTTCGAGAGGAACGCATCAGGGGGGCAGCTGCGGGGCGCAGGATGCCTGGCCCCAGTGCGAGGCTAGCCCGCAGCGCGCCTGGTGAGCTGTCTGCGCCCGCGCGCTGTTGGCGATGAGAGCAGTCAAGTAGCGTTTGGGCGAGGTCGCCCACAGGCCAGAAGGGCGACGCAGCGCAGTGATCTGTCCGCGAAGACGACGCAGCCGCGGCAGAGAGCGCATCTGCCTTCAGCTCTTTTGCGTACGGCATTCGGCCATGGTTTCCCTCGGCGGTGCCAGCGAGCGCCTCCGCCTGTCATCCGACCCGTGTTCCTGGATGACGGCGCCGGTCGGCGAAGCGCCAACCATCTCGTTGAACCACGCGTGGCGCGCGCGTGCAGTCTCGGCCATATCTTCATACTGTCTAGCAAAAGCGCGCCATCTGAAGAGGAAACCCCTAACAGCTCTCGCAGCAGCTGGGAGGGCGCACGCGCACGTGCGGCGCGCGATGGGAGGAGCGGAGGCACGGTCCAGCTGGCGCTGCTCGGCGCATCTTGAGACCCGCCGCTCGTTGCATTCATGTGTGGCGACGTGCTCCAGGACTGGTGAGGGGAAATCATGTGCGGCCTCTCGCGCGGCGTCTTCGGGCTCCATGTGATTCCGAGCGGGGCAGACCGCTGATGCTGTTGCGGCGGAGACTCTCTGGCTCGCGGCGGAATGCAGCTGCTGGATGCGTGTGGCTGGCCACCCGGGCTGGCTGCCCCAAGAAGGCCGCGTCGATGCGAGAGGCGTACCGAAGCCCAGGATGCCACCCGGCCGTCCTCGAAACCACGATCTCGGTCGCCCCCTCAGTGCCCTTTCCCATGTGCGCCCGAAGGTACGCGGCCATCGCGGTCGCGTGCTCTACGCGGCCAAGAATCAGGCGATCGAGGTGATCCCCAAAGATGTCGCCCGCGATCACAACGACGTTCTCGCTCGGACAGGCTGCCTCCCATCGCGGGTCCCTGTCTATGTCATCTGGCGCCTTCTTGGCATCTGCGCGCGATGGACCATGGCTGCGAGCGTGCCGGTAAACAAACGCACGGCGACCTAGCTGAGATAGGAAGTCCTGGTAGAACGCAGCAGACGAACGCGTCATGCGACCTGCCGCCGACGCGGCATCCCGCCGCGATAGGGCGCCCGTCTTTTCTCGCAAGCGGGAGTAATGAATAAATGCGACGACGCCACCAGCGCCCTCGCGCTCACCAGAATTAATGAGGAATACGATTTCCGGGTTTACCACGGATTCGAAAAGCTCCTCCAAGCGGCGCACATGTGTGATCCGCGCACTTCTGGACTTCCCAAGACAACGTTTCAACGCCCAGATGTGGAAAGAAAGAACGCACTCGATTGCACGATCAACGCCGCGATGACAGAGGGCCCCGCAGCTCCACGCTCCGGACCTGATCCCATCGCCTCGACACGATCACCGAGCAGACTTGCTGAATCACCCAGCCTTGCCCCTCGGGCGGAGCTGTTGGCTGTAGTGCTCTTCGCACACGTCGCAGCGCCCCAGCGGACGCCGCCGATGCCGCGGCAAACCCACGGCAAGCCCTGCGCCCGGCGCCCCTGCCGAGTGAGGCCGGCGCCGCGGCAAGCCTACAGCAGGCCAATCGCCCGAGGCGGCGTTTGCCCTGGCGGCCGCGGCACCCTCCTTAAGACGCCAGACGGCGCGTCGGAACAAACGGCGCGGCTACAGATCTTCCATGTCCAGACCCACCCGCTGAACCGTGCCCTCGCATTCCACCAGAAGTCTGGTGCCGAATGGCACCCGTGGCTTCTCTGCGTGGCCGGCATCGACACGGTATAGATGAGCAGCAGCTAAAACCGCCATTCCCCACCATCGGGTAGGCAACCGAGTGCCACATAGTGGTGGATGCCGTGGAACAGGAGGTATTCCCATTCGTGCAAAGACGACGTCGGCCCAGGACCTGCGATTTCGAACTCGACGATCTGCCTCCAGTTGAGCGACAACAAAAGGTCAACTGAATGGGGCCGACGGCGTTGGTTAAATAGCCGCTGGCCGATGACTGCGTCCAGGAGCTTGCGCAGCTTCTTTGCAGCAGTATCGCGCGCGATGAGGAGCAGGGGAAGGAGGAGGAGGAGGAGGAGGAGGAGGAGGAAGAGGAGGAGGAGGAGAGCGAGGAGTTGGACGACGACGACGCCGACGACGACGACAAGGAACAGTACGAGGAGGAACAGTGGAAGGACGAGGAGGAGGAGGAGAGGCAGGAGGATGATACTGAGGAGGAGGAGGAGGAGGAGGAGGAGGATGAGGAGGCTGGGGGAGGAGGCTGGGGGAGGAGGAGGAGGAGGAGGAGGAGGAGGAGGAGGAGGAGGAGGAGGAGGAGGCTGGGGGAGGAGGAGGAGAGGCGAGCCACGGCCCCGCGATCTGGGGCGGCGCGCAGCCTGCTCCATGCGCCCCTCGTCGTCGTCTTCGTGACCCACCGCCCCCTCCCTCCTCCGCCTCCTCGTCGCTGTTCTCCTCGTCCTCGTCCTCGCTCTCCTCCTCCTCGACCCCCACCTTCTCCATTCGTGGGGAATCCGCCCCCTCGTCCTGGAACTGGAGAGGCGGCACACAGAGTGCTGCGCGAGAGGGATGTGAAGCCCCTTCCTCTCTTCCCATCTTCCCCCACTCTCCCTGCCCCCCCTTTTACCCTCTCGCCGAGTCGAAAGCATTTGATTTGTTCGCGCGCACAGTTCTGTTTGTGTTTCACGCCGTCTGGCTGGTAGATTGATGGTTCACCCAGGCCCTGCATAGGGCCAAGCGGCACGCAGGCCTGCTGGCGAGGCTCGCTCGTACGTCCTCCTGCCAAGTTTTGCCTTTGACTATCGAAGATCGACGAGGGAAATTTGTCTGACGTTGTTGGTTGGCCCTTGTCGGGCATCCGGAGGCTTCTTCGGGAAGCCCCCAGGGACCCTCAAGGATCAAGATCCGGAGCGGCACAGCAACGTATCACGTCCTCGTCGTCGTCGTCCTCCTCCTCCTCCTCCCCTCCTCCTCCTCCTCCTCCTCCTCCTCCTCCTCCTCCGTTCAATGGGGGGCTCGCCCATCGCCCACCATTGCCCTGAGCCTCTCCAGCGGCGCGAAGGAAGTATCCGCCACCGCGCCACGAGGCACGAGTTGGAGTGACCTCAGGTCCGTTACGGTCAGAAGCTTTCGCATAGCATGTCGCATCGGCGGCCCAGGCGACATGCTATGCCTTGCAAGCGGACAGTAGCGTGTCGCTCCGCTACGCGGGGCGGAAGACTGGGAACCTTGACGTGAGGGAATGGGGAGGTGGATAGCGCCTCGCACCGAAGCGTGGTAGGCCAGAAGTGGCGGAACGACACGGCAAGCCAAAGTTCATGACCGTACGTCAGCCGTCAACTCACGGACCCCAACTTCACGGAGTCTTCGGGTGCGTGCCGCGGCTCCTCGCGCGTTCTCACATGGATTTTCCCGAAGCCATACGGCCCCAAGACGGCCTCAGAGAGCTCCAGGATGTCTCCCAGACGGTCCACGAGCGCACCGAAACGGCCCAAGAGCGCCCCGAAACGGCCCCAAAGACGCCCCAGAGAGGGCTCCGAGAGACCCCCCGCGGAGGGGGGCCCAAGAGGCACAAGCACATGATTGGACACTGAAGCGCGCATGAGTTTTGCACTCTCGCCTCTCCGTGCTTCCAACGCTCCCAGGCGACTCGGCCCAAGAGGCCCCCAGGGTCGCCCCAAGATGGCCCAAAAGGCCCCCAACAGGACCCTACGGCGGAAAAAAAGCCCGGATAGCCCAGGAACCCCCCAAGACGGTCCCAAGGGAGGCCCAAGAGGGGAACCACGACCTGACATTTCGAGTCCCCCAACCCAAGGTGGCCCCAAGATCCCTCCAGAGGCCCCCGAGGAACCCCGAAGAAGCCCAAACAGGCATCCAAGAGACCCCCAAGAGGCCCTCAAGAGATCCTGGGATGCACCCATCGATATGACCCGAGTGGCTCCAAGGAATCCTCTGACCAGCAATCCAGGCACGGTGGCAGGTTAGGCCCAAGGACGCAAGATCCGCCGCCCCCTGTGGTTGTCACAAGGGGTTTTACTTGTTTGAACCCTTGCAAACAAAATTGTCCCCTGAAAGCGACCCGAAGAGACCCCAAGAAGCATCCCCGAGGACTCTGACCCACAAGCCAGGCACGGTGGCGGTATGGGCCGAAGGCCATGATATATTCGCCTTGTCAGCCGAAGAATGCCCGAGATGCCTCAAACATTGCTCCACGACTGCCCAAGAAACCCCCGAAAGGGCCTCAAGACGGGCCAGCATCGCAAATTAAGACGGTTCGAGAGGCCACTATCGAGGACGGCCCCAAAAGGGCCCAAAAACGGCCCAAGAGACCACGAAAACGACTGCCCAGAGAGGCCGCAGAGAGGCCACCAATATGGCCTCCGCAAGCCCAAGTGTTTCCTAGAGGTCCCGCGGGGGCCGACCTCCTCCCTCTCCTCCTCCTCCTCCTCCTCCTCCTCCTCCTCGTCCTCCTCCTCCTCCTCCTCCTCCTCCTCCTCCTCCTCCACCTCCACCTCCACCTCCTCCTCCTCCTCATCCTCCTCCTCCTCATCTTCCTCTACCCTGCACTCTCTTTCTCCCCAGGTAATCCTCCGAGGGTTTCCACATCGGCTGGGGGATTTCATCGTCCAATAGTTTGGCCAAACATTGGTCCAACGTTTGGCCACGCAGGCGTCTCCCAAGGCGAGGGCAGCAGTGGTTCGCCGTGGGCGCTTCCGGTCGAAAAGCGCAAGAAGGTCAATCATATCCTCGTCACTTTCGGCATCCATGGGGCCTCCGCCAGGCCGATCAAACCGACTCAGGATGAACAGCCGTCCCCAGGGAAAGAGGTCCAGACCACGTCACAAAAAAACACAAGCCTGAACACCCAGAAACCACATATATGCTTAAGATAGGTTCATCGGTATGATCTAAGCTCAACTCGCATTAAAGCCAAAAGCCTGTCTCCCGGAATTAAGTCTCACATTGAAATAAAGACGGTGTTCAATGTGGGCGATGATTGTTTAAAACGATTTGGCAGATGCCAAGTTCTACAGGACGTAGAAAATATGTATCGACACGTGGTGTATACAATGTGCAGGTACTGGAGCTAAGTTCATGCTATGTTTCATGAGTAGCGAGTCGCGGGGCGACAAAATGCTGACCTGTACCTCGACCGTGTTGCGTGAGCTCCCCGCCCATGAGTGAGCAGCATCCCCTGCACGTGAGGGTGGTCTCCCCGTGTGGGGGCGGAGGGCGACCCGTTTTGTGATGAGGCAGTACTCTTTGTGAGACAGTCCTCTCGCGCGGGCTTCGCTTCTCCAGTCTCGATGGCTCCATGGCCCCCTTCTCCTACTCCTCCTCTTCCTCCTCCCCCTCGAAGGGCCTGGACGGCCCAGGTCGAGCTTCGATCGAGTGACCGATCGGGGGCCGCTAGGCCCTGCTCTATCTCCTCCTGGAGCGCCTGGCGGGAGCTTCGCGGTGGAGCCCCTCGTCGCCTTCGTCGTCGGTGTCGCCGTCCTCCTCAATATCCTCCTTCTCCTCGCTGACAATCATCCCGCCCTCCATCTGTCCCTCCCTCCCTCCACCTCCACCTCCACCTACACCTTCCTTCGCGTCCACCGCCAGCTGACGCTGACGCTGCTGGTTTAAGTGTTGAATGCGACGCAAGCAACCATCTCCAATTCCTCCTCCTCCTCCTCCTCCTCCTCCTCCTGGTGATTCGTTGATGGCCTCTGGGTCATCCTGACGCGGCCTCCCCCGAAGCTGCCCTTGCGGGGGGGGTGGTCAACACAGATGCTGCAACATAGAAAGGAGAGGGCGACCATGGCATGATGGAAGGCCCCCCGGGGGGCGGGGGAACAAAGTCCCCCAGCACCCCAGTGCAGAGGGGGAGAGAAGATGGCACGGCACCACGGCGGCGACGACCCTGCCAGCGACAAACCTTGGGGGGACAGGCAGACGAGGCGAGGCGAGGCCGTGGGCTGGCACGCTGTGTGGGGCGTGGCGCTGGCGGTGCCAAGCGCGGGCGCGGTCGCAACTCGCGACTGTGGGCAGCGCATGGGCCTCGCCTCCTCCCAGTATGCCACTCCTGCAA